CAGGCACGTGCTACCACGCCCGGCTGATTTTTGATTTATTGTAGAGATGAGGTCTCACCAAGTTGCCCAAGCGGGTCTCGAACCCGCGGGCTCAGGCAATCCACTCACCTCAGCCTCCCAAAGGCACGGGATTACAGGCTGAGCCACCGAGCCCGGCAAGAGAGCTGTCTATTAACTAAGATTAACCTGAGCTAGTTAAAGGTACCAGCCTGGAATGCCCTGGTCTCGGTAGCCAGTAAGATGACATTTGAGAACCACGTGGATCAACATGTGCTGCTTTCTTAAAATGATGAAGTCTAACTGAGTCACCTCCATCTACCTGCAGAGAGCGAGGCCCCAAAGAGAGAGAAAGCCCACAGCAACAGAGAGGCCAGTTCCTGGCTGTCTGCTGAAGGCAGGGCTCATGTATTCATCTCAAGACCAGGCTTTTATTTCCTTGGGGAGTCCACCATCTCTTAATCACAAAAGCAATAAGTATTTCCAATATGTTCCTCTGCCGTGCCTAATCAGTTGTTCCAGCTGCCAGTCATCAGCCACGTCCAGGAGTTCACTTAAAAGCCTTCTTTCAGCCTTGAAAGCGGTAGTGACCCCTGAGTCGACACAGACAATGAAGGCCGCCCCCGTGGGCAGCCTGTGTGTGCCGGTTGATTTAATCACAACAGTTTTGTTAATATCGTCCTGTATTCTGGAGGGATCAACACTCTTCCTTATGCTTTAATCGATAGCCTACATTGGTTAAGTATGGAAAATCATTTTGAGGGTGTATGGAAGGAAATTTTTCCTTTTGCGAATGACATTACAATTTTACTCTAACGTGGAGCTTTTCTTCCTGAGGTTAAAAATCACTTGGCAAAGCCTCAACATTTGTCTGAAAGCATATGTTGTGTCAGGCAGGACCGTGTGAAGCCGGCAGGTATTCAGGCTTAAAACATTAATAGAGATTAGCACCTGCCTGGTGCAGAGTAGGTGTTGGGAAATTGTGTTTGAATGAATGAATGAGTAAAATAATATTTCTGGACTATAGTAACTAAGATTGAATTCTGAATGTATGATGTCAGAAATTCCTAGAAGTCAGGGTAAGTAGGAGAGGCACTTCCTGTGCTATAGTGGCAGTTTCTGAGAAATATAGGTCTTTGGTGGAGGCCAAGGAGAATGCTATTGAAGCACAGCTGTCTGACTCCAGGGGGTTATCCATTTTATTGAAAGGGTAAGGGAGATGGGAACTGGATAAATGTTGGAAAGCCATGCTTGTGTCTGTTGTTACTCCCTCCAAATTTCTGGTCATCATCTTGGTCACAGGTGACATCATAACAACTAGGCATGCCCTGGAATCTTCATACAAAGTGCTTCTACTAGGTTGTAATCTCACCAGAAGTAAGATTTTTCTATACTTGGCATCCCATCTGTTAGAAAATAGAGGTGAGTCCTGACCTCGTTTTGCAGAGAGGTGATTTCTTACACCCTACATCAGCAACTGTTCAGTATACTTTCCAAATCCAGACTCTAAATTGAACCCTACAGCCCTCCCTTTTGTATTCTCATGGGGCCCCTGTCAAAGGGCCAGTGCCTGTTTCTGTGCCATTTACCCCTGTAGCATGGAAGAAAGGGCTATGGACATGGGTTTGACTGAGCTGGCTGAGCATAAATGAGGGCAGTGATTCATAAGGTGACTCTAGCTCTTGACTGGGTCCAGCACAGCTAGAAGGCATATTCCTGAGCCTTTAGCCCCGGACCAGATACCACATGTGCCCCACCTCACATCCCACTTCCCTACCACCTGTTTCTATTGGTCATGGCTATGGCAACTAGCCACACCAGGCATAGCTTGGCAGCACCTCCCCTCTACTGTACCATGTACCTGAGGCATCTTTGATGCCCTGGTGTTGAGCATCTGTGAGAGCATTTAGCCACTCTGGTATATGTGCCTACTTGAAAATGTGAACACATTAACACCCTAGGGCAAACCTTGTCCAATGGGGAATAGGAATTGGTGGATAAATGTTCCTTTCTGTTTTTTTCTTACTCACTGAGCCCCAAGATGGATTTCATCGGCTTTTAGATTGTGTTCATCTTTGTTCCCTAAATAAACATGAACTGATGCTGTTTGGAGATACCAGGCATCAAGGATGTCTTGTTCCCTAGTCTGTTCCAGGACCTAGCTTTTTGTCTGGCACACAGTAAGTATTCCATAAATATATGGAATAGCTGGCTGCTAAGAGAAGAATGAATAGAACACAACTCTGTAAACAGAACTAATGTAAAGTAAGAAGGCACTACAGGCAAAGTAGTATAAATTGTCATGATGTATTTGAGATGAGGTCAATTATTTGAATTGGCCAGGACTTAGGGTGCATTGTGGGGATAAGGTAGTAATGTTAAAGTGCTTAGAACACTGTTTAATCCTCTATACTAGTAAGTCTTGGTATTTTGGTAAAATTAATGTATAGAGCTCTGTTCTCCTCAGTAAATTGCAACCACCTCAAGGGCAGAAAACCGCATATCATAGACTGGCTAGCATGTAATAGGCAGTTGATAAACTTTGAATTTAAAAAATAACGGTTAGGGCCTGGTGCAGTGGCTCACGCCTGTAATACTAGCACTTCGAGAGACCGAGGCTGGAAGAATCCTTGAGCCCAGAAATTTGAGCAACATAGTGAGACCTCATTTCTGGGCAACATAGTGAGATCTCATTTCTACACAAAAAATAAAAAGATAAAACAATTATCCAGTCATGGTGGCACACACCCGTAGTCCCAGTTACTCAGGAGGCTGAAGCAGAAGGATCGCCTGAGCTCAGGAGGTCAGGACTGCGGTGAGCCTGGATTGCACCACTACACTCCAGCTTGGACAGCAAAGTGAGACCCTGAATCAAAAATAAATGAATAAGTAATGGTTGGATGGTGGATGGATGGATGGATGATTGGTCCTGGCTGTCAAATGAAATGAAGGAGAGTCTCTAAACCAGGCCTAACTTTGAGTGAGTGCCAGGCTACAAATAATACAAATTTCACAGCCTATTTTATCACAGCTCCAAATGTAGCTCCTATAGCTAATATGGACCTCTGAAAAGCATCACACTTTGTTGAACCATAGAATAGAGCATAGAGTGTGCACACCAAGTTTCCCCGATGCCTATCGGGTTGTAAGCTGCAGAGGCAATCCTTCCCTTGTGATAAACACACGCACATACATACAAAAATACCTCCAGGGGAAAATAAGTGATGGGTGCATTCAGCAACTCCAACAAAATAATAGGAAAGCTCACATTTCTACATTAAGGCAGAAGAAATAAAAAAAGGTGGGCTGTGTTTTCAGTGTCTCTGTGACCTCTAATTATTCCATTAGATCTTGGAATAGTATATAAAACACTGCAGTCTGTGCTGACAAACACCAGTATTGAAACTATTGCCACAGTCAATCCAAACAGTCTTCTCCCCTGGGTAAAATTATTATTTGGAATACAAGCAGAATTGTGGTTCCCTGAGCTGGCTGAGCATAAATGAGGGCAGTGATTCATAAGGTGACTCTAGCGAGTTTGCAAATGTGCAACTTTCACAGAGACTGATGTACACAACAGAAGCTCAGCATTCGTCGCCTTTCTGAGCTGGTAAGCATTTTCAGACCTCACTACCTCTTTAGGACTTGGAGGGCTGTGGATACAGCCTTCTGAGGACAAGTGTTAACCTGACAGAATGCTGACTTACCAGAAATAAACCTTTCAGATCAGATCACACCCCTGTCAGTAGCTTTTTGAGCGGGAAGATGGTAATTTTGCTTCTTCACACGTTCCTTTAAATACTTGAACTCTTGTTCCATTGGATTAAGCTTTTGGGGGTTGGGTCATCTGGGGTATGAATTCTATCCTCGAGAGGTTGGGGAAAAGTGGTACTGGTCTAAAAATACAACTCCTTGAACTTTTAAACTCTCATATCTTTTTGATAATGTGGCTTCTCTTACTTAATCCTGAACTTGATTTCTTCCATTTTTTAAAATCAATTTATTCTTTGATATCGGTAGAGTAAGTTCAAAAAGAGCAGAAATGGGTATAGATGCTCAGCATAGCTTTGTACAAAGAAGGAAGTTAAAGGGAGTTAGCATAATGATGCTGGTATGATTGTGGCATAATGAGATGTCTACTGAGTAGGTCCCAGACACTGAGAGAGCCTCTCTGATAGACTCTGAAAGTGACAAGCCCCAGTTTCTTCTGTGCCATCGTACCAATTAGCTGATCTAAATGGGGCACATATTCACATTTGAGGTCACATACAGTCTTCAATGGCTAGGCTGCCTCTGTGAATGGGGCTCTTACTTACTCTATGTCCTACTAGGCAAGGTAGGAAAAGGTCCCGGGACTGCGTTTGAGGCCCCTTTTTCATTGTTTGAGAGACTCCTTTTTGATGAAGACAAAGTATATTCAGCACACCATTGGGAAAATGCCTGGGGTTAGTTAGACTCTTAAGTTAAAAGGGTATAAGATCCTATGTTCATGCTAGGATCATGGAAGCTCCGTTCTCATTACAGTGATTTAGCAGTGACAGAAAGGGATCCTGGCCTGACCCACCATGGCCTGCTGCAGCAGTGAGAAGAGGAAGGAGGCCTGTGTTGTGCCCTTCCCTGTCAGCTGACTGAATATTCTGTTACCTGACTCTCATCCCCTGTGACTGAAGAGCACTAATACAGAGACCTTCACATAGATGCAAATGGTACAAGATTGACTAATTACACAGTGTCCAGACAGGGAAGTGGCAGGGCATAGTAGCTCTTAGGTGACAAAACTGTGAACGTCAGCCTGGAGCCAACCAAATGTAAGCTCCTGAGGAACCTTTTCTACTGTGAAAACAAAAGCTCTGTATACTCAGGAAGGGGAGAACTGTTCCCTGAAAACCATCCAGAGAAAAACAAACAAGCCCCTCAAATATGCTTGCTGCCAGCCTTCAGTATCTAAAAAATGTGGACCTCATTCAGGGCACGATCTCATGCTTGTTCTCCCTTGATTTCAGCTCCCGTTTTCTCCAGCAATCATTCAAGCCGAAGTGGAACAGCTGCTGGGGCCGTGCCGCCCCCACATCCTGTCAGTCACCCTTCTCCGGGACATAATGTACAGGGGAGCCCCCATAACCCCTCCTCCCAGTTACCTCCACTCACAGCTGTGGACGCGGGAGCTGAGAGGTAAGGCCATCTGTCTCTCTCTCCTAATAGGTGTCGCCGCCAAAGCTCCCTCCACAGAGAAGTGCTTTGACAGTTGCTGAATTTTATTAATAATCTGTTAGTGGGTTGAGTTTCCCAAAGGTGACATTTTAAAAGTACATACACCAAGCACGTGGACCAAATAGCTCATTATCTGTTTTATTTTTCCATGGAAAAACAAACGAAATGATATTGGCAATAGCCAACTGATGTGTCAGATGTTGGAGAAACGCATCAGAATACCCCTGTCTCTCTCCCACCTTTCTTCAGTTTGTTTCAGGGACTCAATTTTAAGGTAATGTATGTGCCATGCAGGCGGATCTGCCTTCCAGATGTCAGATGGCGTCCTAATCCCATCAATCAGTATTGTTAGCTTAGAAATAGAGTATAAGAGCACAGGGTTTTATTTGGGGATCCGGAAAGGGGCTATTCATGGAATGCTTTGTGTCGATATCACCCTCATAAAGGACTCCCTGGGAAGATTGTTTCAGATGACTGTGATCTTCATTACACACACACACACACACACACACACACACACACATATGTATGTATTTTTTTTTATTATTTTTTTTTGAGTTGGAGTCTCACTCTGTGGCCCAGACTGGATTGCAGTGGCCACTCCCGGCCACCGCAGCCTTGACCTGCTGGGCTCCAGCGATCCTTCCACCTCACCCTTCCAAGTAGCCAGAATTACAGGCATACGCTACCACGCCCGGCTGATTTTTTGATTTA